GCAGTCAGCCCACATGGGCTCCCCATGTGGCACCCATGTAACTGAAACCGTATGGGTCCCCCATAGTGTTGCCCAGTTCAAGACCATGCCCACTTAGCTCGGTTAAATTCCTTATAGGGCCCATGCAGTCAGCCCACATGGGCTCCCCACGTGGCACCCATGTAACTGAAACCAAATGGGGCCCATAAAATTTGCTCTGTTTATGCCCATGCCCACTTAGCCCATTTACATTCCTTATGGGGCTCATACAGTCAGCCCACATGGGCTTCACATGTGGGGCCCATGTTACTGAATCCACATGGGACCCGCAAAATTTGCCCACTTCAAGCCCATGCCCACTCAGTACCCACATAGCCCGCATATAACCCTTGTGGGCCCCACATGGACATGCTGGCTGGGTAACAGCATTCTAATTAATAAGGATTAAAAAATAATTTGCGGTTACATGACACATCTCTTTGGTCCTGTAGGTTAGATCTACCTTTGTGCCAGTGGTGGTGTCCACCTGTGCCTTCCTCCACAACCTCTGCATCACCAATGGTGACATGGTGGAGCCAGATGTGGAGGAGGGGGGCGTCCACGACGATGATTACCAGGAAAACCAGCCGGAGGACCAAAGGCCAGGAGAAAACCTGCGGAACAGACTGGCAGCAGAGGTTTCTGCTCCTGGTGCTGCCATCCCTGCACTGCAGGAACATGACTACTAGTCAAGTCACCATTTTTTGTACATAGTTCCAACATTTGACATTTTTTGTAAATAGTTCCTGCAATAATTGTTCTTGTTTGATTACAAAGTTCTAGTTCTCTTTGTATTCATTAATTCAGGTCCAGCTGGTTTCTGTAATCAACCATATGACATATATTTAACATTATTTGTGGTTGCATCTAGCTGTGTGTGTGAATGAATTGGGAATCCTTGGCCAACCGAGGACTGTGATAGGTGGAAATGGAATTTTAAAATATTTTTTTATCTGCATAGACACCTTTATTTGACAGTTACGAGACAGGAAATCACGGGAGAGAGAGGGGATGTGACATGCAGCAAAGGTCCGCTGGCCAGGATTTGAACCAGGGTTGGCTGCGTAAGTGGCATTATACTTCGCTATGCCATGGCCACCCCACACTAGCTTTGTGTCCCATCTTGGCCACCCCAGCATTCCCAAACAACCCGACTCCGAGAAGACCGGACCCCGGCGCAACTGGGGCCGTTACCGGCCTCACACCGTCCACGGGCTGAGCCTCGATCAGAAGGACTCAGGCCCCCGAGCGACACCGGGCAAGCGGTCTTCCGTATGTCACATTTCCCCGGTCCGCCCGTCAGAGGGCTATTCGGCGCTGGGCTCTTCCCTCTTCGCTTGCCGCTACTGAGGGAATCCTGGTTAGTTTCTTTTCCTCCGCTTAGTAATATGCTTAAATTCAGCGGGTTGTCTCGTCTGATCTGAGGTCGTATTCGAATGGGTTCAAGTGGCGTGGCTCCCACACCCCAGAGGGGTGGGAGGCTCACGGGCTTCAGGTGACGCTGAAGGGGTACCCCGCAACGGTGGAGTGCGGGCCCGGCCGAGCGGCCGCGCAACCCCGGCCCCCGTCGACTTTCTCCTCAATCCCCCGCTGGAACGTTCCCACCGGACGACACGCACGAGACACGGGCAGCACGGAGACCAGGTTGTCCACCGGCAGCCGCGCCCGCACGTGCGGGCCCAGCGGGACGCCCCTCTCCCGCCTCGCGACGGGAGAAGGAGGGAAGGAAGGGGGTTTGCAGCCGCGCCGCAACGGGCATCCCCTGCGACTAGGTCTGAACTTAGGGGGACGAAGGCGTCTGGCACCTGCGACAAAGCGTGGCAAAGCGACCCTCAGACAGGCGTAGCCCCGGGAGGAACCCGGAGCCGCAAGGTGCGTTGTGTCGATGATCAATGTGTCCTGCAATTCACATTAGTTCTTGCAGCTAGCTGCGTTCTTCATTGACGCACGAGCCGAGTGATCCACCGCTAAGAGTTGTCACATTTTTGTTTTTGTTTGGTTTGTTTTGCCAGGCCAGTGTTCATCAGACAGAGGGTTTTGAGAACGGACACAGAACCCCCGGGCGGTCCGCACCGTCACGGCCAGGGGGCCAGGACACTACTGGAGACACTGAACCCCCCTCTCCCTCCGGAGGAGGGCAGAGAGTTGGGTACCC